GCTGCCGTGCGCTGAGGACAGGAGACTCGGTGCACCCACCAGGAAACAACTCTGAACACTCCAGCTTCTGCCCCAGACCTGTCCTGAAAGGGAAACCCCAGCAGGCAGAGCCTTTATGCTATCCCTTGTCATTTCATCTTACTTTATTTTATTTTACTTTTAAATATTTATTTCCCTTTCTCATTTTCTGCGGCAGATCCGGGCCTACATGGGGGCATTCGCGGCCGACTTCAACGAGAACGCCGACCTCAGCGCCTTGCGCTTCCTCTCCGTCAACTCCATCGTGGACCCCTGGGTCTTCATCATTTTCCGCACCTCCGTGTTCCGCCTCTTCGTCCGCCGGCTCTGCCGGAGACTGAGCTCCCGGAGGGCCCCGCTCAAGGGCGCCGGTGCCGCCGGGGCCGGGACGGCGTCGCCCCCGCTCCGCTGCCCTTGGCCCCTGGAGCGGCAGGGGGGTCTCGCACGGCTCCCAGGGCAACTGTGAATATGTCCAAGCAGCAGCACTTTGCGGAGAGTTTGGGAAGAGGCCGGCTCTGGGATGGCACGTCATGGGGGCAGCGGGGGCGTTGGGGATGCTGGCGGCATCGCTCCCTCGATGGGACCCAGTTTGGGACCCAGCGTTTGGCCCTGATGGAATAAAACCAACTTGGAGTGCTGGAATAACCCTGCCGCGGAGCCGGCAGGATGGACGCGGGACGCTGTCCCCATCCCGGCGTGGGTGCCACCCCCCCAAACCCGAGGGCATCTTATCGCACCCGTGCCAGCGCAGCTGACGCCAGGTCTGGACCGGGGCTCTGTGGTGGCTCCCGCTTATCTGGGAATGCGGGTGCGCCGCCGCTAATCGTGGCTTTCATCTCGGCGCTGAGCTTGCAGGGACAAAGCCGTTGTCGGGCAGCGCAGCGTGCCGGAGCGTGCAGCGGCGCGCCAAGCACGCGCACACGCAGCACGTCGGATAAATGGAAGCCCCGTTTCCCACCACTCGCACGTCTCCATTGCTGCTCATCGGGTAGGACTGCGTTATCCCGAGTGCCCGTCCGCTCCGGTGCTGGCAAGTGCCATCCATGAGCGTTTCCATCTCGCTCCTGGCAAGGCTGCGCCAGGGCGCCGCGCTCCCACGCCTCCCACAGCATGTCGCTCTTGGAGTTGAGCTGATTTCATTTCTGGAGGAAGCAATTCCCAGGAATACTTTGGAGAGGCGTCTCGGAATTCTCCAGTTAGATGTTGCTCCGACCCTTCAAGCTTCCCCACATTCCCAGACAAGGGAGGGGGCCGAGGCGCAGCAAGCTCCCCCATCGCTGTCTCCCAAGAGGGTTTTCCAAGGAAAAGGCGCTCGGTGGATGCGCGGCCGGCGCGGGGCTGGAGA